AGTAAAAATTTATAGGAATGCAAAAGCAGCTGAAGCAGGTCAAATGCAGGTAAACAGCAACAGCAATGAATTCTGAACAGAAGTGTATGAAACTCATATCAAGAGTACACTGCACTAGCCCATTAAATCCTGCCACAAAAGGCCCTAAAATGTATACTGTACTGATTTTCTGTACTACGCTGTTTTTCTAAATTTAGTTTTAATTTTACAAAATATGCAGGATAAACTTTGTCACTGTCAAATACATGTTACAGTATATATTCTCTATTTTTTATTTTCTCATACTGCATCTATAATGTAAAGATATCAGTGCCAGAAAGGTTAAACAATTTCGTTTTTACCTTTGTTTCTCCCAGTATGGGTACAAGTGAAGAATTGCAGTTCATCTGTAGAAATAGGTAAACAGTAGTTACACATTACACTACTAATATACTTCATGCAATAAACTAAAAAACAGAAATTCTAGAAACAATACAAAAATCTTATAGTTCAGAAATATACTACTAGCAACTGCAAGTTTGCTCATTTGTGAATATAGCAGCATTTATACAGATACTTATTGGTATTGTTATTAGTTACCATTGACCATGTTACTTTATCAGTTTATTCAAGAGATCAACTAAAGCTCACTTGATTTCTTTCTGCTTTTTTACTCCATTATATTAGAGATATGTATAAATATCAGTAAACTTCCTATTTTCAGTTTTCACTATTGCATACTAGGAGAACCGTCCCTATCACTGGTACCACCATATGCAAGCTGTTTACTTTTTCTTCATATTTCTAAACATATTGCTCAGCATCTGTGGACAGGTATGGTAGTAGTGCCATTGTGGCAAACAGTTGAGATTAAAACCTAATATTATATTGTTCTTGTTTCTCTTATGCATCATTTTCTCATTTCAGAGATGTATTTGTTGCATTTGTTTACAGTTTTACTGTTGGACTCTATTTCCTACATATGTGTAGAGTAGGACAGTGGATATGGTAAATATATAAAAATAAATTTAAGGCTGTAGGTTTTAAAAATTTACTTAAGTAATAGCGTTTCTGTGTGCATTATGACAAAATCACACACATGCAAATTAGGCATTCTCCCAATGATTTTGCTTTAGAATTAAGCATTTCAATTTTCTAAGGTTGCAGAGAATTTTCACATAGCTTAATGAAGATGGTGAAATTGCTTATACTGTATGTGGAAGCAAAAATCCTTTTTTTTTTTTTTTTTTTACATATTATTGGCTATTCCAAGTAAACGTAGCTTCAGCTTATTTACTAATTTACTAAGCTAAGTGGGCATTCACTTTGCATAGTGAACAGTCTCTACTCCCTTCATTAATATATCCATTACTGGCCAATAGTTTTGTTTTAATCTCTTAAAGCAGCATTAATTGTTGTTAAGATAGGTACATTATTAAACAGATTGAACAAATTATATTAAAAGTTTACATGATCTAAAGTATGACAGCTCTTACCTCTCGGCTAAACAGATTTGACAGGTTTCCTAGTACCGCAGTAATATGCTTGTACTGCACTCTTGCATGCTCTGCACTGGTTGAAGTGAGATATAAGAGGCTGCAGACAATGCAAAGGGCAACCATTATATTGTTCATGGTCCACAAATGGTGTTGGCAATGCCTGTAGAAGAAGCTCAGATTTGGTTATGTTGTCCTGGCTTTAGGTTCATCTTTGACTGAGTTTTATACAGATACAAACCTCAAAGGAAGTGACATATAGGGACACATTAATTTGCTGACTGTTTGCCTCTATATATCTGATAATGACTTTTTTGATTAACTAAAACCAGACTATGGAAATGTAAGAGGAAATTTTTAAAATAGTTTCCTAGAATAAAAGTAGTTTAATGCACTCATTGGTAGATGAACGTTTTACTGATCATGTAGTTTCATGTTTAAATTTAGACAATTTAGTAAAATGGAGATTAACACTTTTCTGTGACCCTTCTTAGAACTACATTTAGATAAATTAATATATGGTATAGTCCACAGGCAATACATGTAGAACTGCCAGTATCCCAGGAACTCCTGCTCAGATGATTATCCAGTCCCAATAGAATGAGAATAATGTAAAGTGCAAGCAAGCCTTATAGGGTGATTCTGTGGGTCATGTCAGCAATACAGTTACATTTCAACCCTTTGAATTGACTGAATTCTTCTTTTGTGCAAATTATCTCCAGTTTTTCCATATTGACAGGAAAATCAGGTCATAAAGGGCCTCAAATCAGCATTCAGCCAGCTTATGTACACCATCTAGATTGTATAAAGTGGATATTATACAACCAAGGCTTGTGATGATTCCTACAATAATCCAGAAAGGCCTGAGAGTACATATCTGGTCCACCTTTTCGGATGTTGATCTCACAATAGCATAAAAGCACTTTGTTGATGAAAAATTCCAATACATTTTTCCTGAGATACGGAAATCCACAGTTTTAAAATGGGCCCTACAATTTAACGACTCAGGGAAAATTTATAAATCTAGAAATGCAGATTTAAATACTTAATCAGAGTCAGCACAAAAAAAAATATATATAAACATGATATTAATACCATACCAAACCAAGGCTGTATGATTGAAACATGATTACAATGATTTAAAGACCCTATTTACTAATAGATTTAAGAATATTCACAAAATCTAAAATCAATTATCTAGTCATGTGCAGGTCAAATAAATAAACATGGATTTTCTTTTTTGTGGGGACATTTATTTATTTATTACAGGTATTTATAAAGCACTGGCAACTTATGCAACACTTTACACTTGTTCATGAGTCGAGACCCTGCCCTTGGAGGAAATCCAAGCACAAGGAAAACATGCAAACTCCATGCAGATAGTGTCCTGATCAGGATTCTAACTGGGGCCCCTAGTGCTACAACAAGCAAAAGTGCTAACCCCTAATCACTTTGCTGCCCTTTCTAAAATCTTTCAGTAAATCAGTCAAATAGTCTGACAAAATACCCATTATTTTTACTATTTTTTACTTAGTTCCTGTTTGCATAATACCTAAAAATGACCCTGTTTTTTTAGTTGTACAAGCACTCCAGTTTAGGGTTGATGAGGGTGGGAAGAGTCTCCATGTTATCCGGCCATTGGAGGAAAGCAATGGCAACAAGGCAAGGTTTTCCCAACCTACTAAAAATATTGTTCCTTAAGAATGATTCTAAGGCTCATGCACTGTCCCCATAAAATGCAGGATTGGGATAACTTTAACGTTATGAGCTTCTAATGATAAATTAGAGAAATTTTCTAAGTATAAAAATTCCCTACCCCTTTTTAAATCATTCACTTTAAAAAAAAAAAAAACAGTAGTTAATAGTATAACCTATATCAGGTTTATAGAAAAATAAATTATTTTGCATATTTTTAAGTGAAGTAATTAATTTTCAAATATTCTCAAAATATCACTCTGCTCTCTTTAAAAAGTAATAGGAAAAAAAAATGATTTTCCTTGTACAATGCCTATAATCTCCATAGGAGAATGAGGGCATGTTTTAAAGTGAGTGTTCAGAATATGTAAATATTTTTGTGCCATAATAGTTTGGGCAAAGGTTCAGTTTATAACTCATAATTTTTTGTAATTAGTTTAGTTTATAGCCAATATATCTCAACATATTGGCATCCATTCACCAGGGTACCTCAACGAATCTACAGACCTCTTTCTTTATAATCTACTAACATGAGAATCAGAGTACAAATGCTCCTAAAACAACATTCCTGTAAAGCTAGAGATTGAGCGGAAGGTATTCAAAAATTCGATCGACTGATTCGGCGAATTCGTGGAACAATTTCGATTCGAGTCGGAATATATTCGCTGCGATTTAACTTATAAAAGGGTGTTTTTCTAGGCTTCAGAGTGACTGTTATATTAGTGCAGCATGAACACTGTACCTTTAATTTTAAATGCCCGTTGGAGTCTGCTGGGGAAGACATAAATAATACTGACAGTCAGTCTATGACATGCAGATGAGTGCCGTCGATCTTAGAATCACCGCACACTTCACTCAATTGGGCAGTCTTCGGGGCCAAAACCAGAGTGTGGAGCCACAGTGTGGCGGTGGAGGCAGTACAGCAATGTGATCCGGCCATAAACAGCACCCTTATGACAAAAAGGGAAACCACCTAGCAGTGTGAGGGGAGACTGAAAGTGGCACATGCAGAGTTGTGGCGATGGAGACAGCAGCAATGGGAGGCCTGTATCTGGGACCCATTGGACACACTCTGGACCTGGGCAAGCAGCATGAGGAGGCGGTACAGGGGCTCCTTGACAGATTTACTTTCCGCCTGGGCAGCAGCATGAGAGTTGGTACGGTGGCCCATGGCAGATTACGGTCCTGGCAGCAGCAATGGGAGGCCGTACAGAGGACCCATGACACACTCTGGACACCTGGCAGCAGCATGGGGAGGCGGTCGCGTACAGGGGCCCATGGACAGATCATTACGGGCCTGTGCAGGCAGCAGCATGAGGAGTTCGTTTTACTAACGGTGGGCCCATGGGACACACTCTGGACCTTTTCGGCACTTAGCATGAAGGAGGCGGGTTTTTCAGGGGCGCATGACAGATACTATGATGCCTGGCAGCAGCAACTTGGACAGGAGGACGTTCAGCTTCTGCAAGGACCGTCGGCAGTGCGTGCTCGCAAACTGTTTGTCTCTTGGAAATGGATTCCAATGAAAGACTGGCTGACGGAATACCGTTGAAGAGGAGTAGCAGGAGAAGGAGCATCTGAACGAGCGGGAATATGCCAACATGCGACAACAGGGGCCCATGACAGATTACGGGCCTGCAGCAGTCATAAGGAGTCGGTAGTACTGGGGTCTCGGGCCCATGGCAGATTAGGGGCATCTGGCAGCAGCTATGGGAGGCCCGTATTCTGCCAGCACCTCAATGTCAAAAAATTCAACACACAGGCAGTGTTGAGGAGACCTGAAAGTGGCACATGGCAGAGTGTAGCGATGGCGAGACAGCAGCAATGGGAGGCCGTTACAGGGACCATGACAGCTTCCACTCTGGACTTGGCCAGCAGCATGAGGAGGCGGTATTATAGGGGGCCCATGGCAGATTAGGGGCCTTGCAGCAGCTTATGGGAGGCCCGTAATCTGCCAGGACCCTATGTCAAAAAATTAACAACCAGCAGTGTGAGGAGACCTGAAAAGTGGGTACATGGCATGAGACACTGTGGACTGGCAGCAGCATGAGGAGGCGGTACAGGGGCCCATGGCAGATTATGGGGGACCTGGCAGCAGCTATAGGAGGCCCGTAATCTGCCAGCACCTATGACAAAAAAATGGAAACACACCAGCAGTGTGAGGAGACCTGAAAGTGGCACATGGCAGAGATCTGTGGCGATGGAGGACAGCAGCAATGGGAGGCCGTACAGGGACCCATGAGACACTCTGGACCTGGCAGCAGCATGAGGAGGCGGTATACAGGGGCCCATGGGCTCGCACAGATTAGGAGGCACTGGCAGCAGCTAATGGGAGGCCCGTATTCCTGCCAAGCACCCTATGACAAAAAATGGAACACACCAGCAGTGTGATGGAGACCTGAAAGTGGCACATGGCAGAGTGTGGCGATGGAGACAGCAGCAATGGTAGCCGTACAGGGACCCATGAGACACTTGGAACCTGGGCAGCAAGCATGAGGAGGCGGTACATGGGGCCCATGGCGAGATTAGGGCCCTGGCAGCACTATCGGGAGGCCCGTATTCTGACCAGTTCACCCTATGACAAAAAATGGAACACACCAGCAGGGTGTGAGGAGACCTGAAAGTGGACACATGCAGAGTGTGGTGATGAGGAGACAGCAGCAATGGGAAGGCCGTTTACAGGGAACCCATGAGACAACTCTGGACCTTTGGCAGCAGCTGATTGAGGAGCGGCGGTCGGTTTGTTTACAGGGGCCCATGGCATGATTAGGAGCGGTGGGGCCTGGCAGCAGCTATGGGAGGCCCGTATAACTGCCAGCACCCTATGACAAAAAATGGAAACACACCAGCAGTGTGAGGAGACCTGAAAGTGGCACATGGCAGAGAGTGTGGCGATGGATTTACAGCAGCAATGGGAGGCCCGTACAGAGGACCCATGACAGATTCTGGACCTGGCAGCAGCATGAGGAGAGGGTTACAGGGGCCCATGGCAGATTAGGGGCCTAGGGAGAAGCTATGGAAGGCCCGTATTTCTGCCAGAAACCTATGACAAAAAATGGAACACACCAGCAGTGTGATGAGACCTGAAAGTGAGCACATGGCAGAGTGTGGACGATGGAGACAGCAGCAATGGGAGCCGTACAGGGACCCATGAGACACTCTGGACCCTGGCAGCAGCATGAGGAGGCGGTTACAGGGGCCCATGGTCAGATTAAGGGTCCTGGCAGCAGCTATGGGCTCGGCCCGGTATTCTGCCAGCACCCTATGACAAAAAATGGAACACACCAGCAGTGTTTAGGAGACCTGAAAGTATGGCACATGGAAGTGTGGCGATGAGACCAGCAGCAATGGGAGGCCGTACAGGAGACCATGAGGACACTCTGCAACCCTGGCAGCAGGTTCATGAGGACGGTGGTACATAGTGGCCCATGCAGATTAGGGGCCTGGCAGCAGCTCATGGGAGCCCTTGCGTATTCTGCCAGCACCCTATGACAAAAATGGAACACACCAGCAGTGTGAGGAGACCTGAAAGTGGCACATGGCAGAGTGTGGCGATGGAGACAGCAGCAATGGGAGGCCGTACAGGGACCCATGAGAGACTCTGGACCTGGCTGCAGCAGTGCGGAGGCGGTACAGGGGCCCATGGCAGATTAGGGGCCTGGCAGCAGCTATGGGAGGCCCGTATTCTGCCAGCACCCTATGACAAAAAATGGAACACACCAGCAGTGTGAGGAGACCTGAAAGTGGCACATGGCAAGAGTGTGGCGATGGAGGTACAGCAGCAATGGGAGGCCGTATACGTGGTGACCCATGAGACACTCTGGACCTGGCAGCAGCATGAGGAGGCGGTACAGGACGGCCCGTGACGCAGATTTAGGGGCCTGGCAGCAGCTATGGGAGGCCCGTACGGGGGCCTGCCAGCACCCTATGACAAAAATGGAACACACCAGCCGAGTGAGAGGAGACTCTGAAAGTGGCACATACCGGCAGCAGCATAGTGGCGGTGGCGATAGAGACAGCAGCAAGGGAGTTGGCCGTACAGGGACCCATGAGACACTCTGGACCTGGCAGCAGCATTTGAGGATGGCGGTACAGGGGGCGCCATGGCAGATTTAGGGTGCCTGGCAGCAGCTATGGAGGCCCGTATTCTGCCAGCACCCTATGACAAAATAATATGGAACACACCAGCAGTGTGAGGAGACCTGAAAGTGGCACATGAGCAGAGTGTGGCGATGGAGACAGGCAGCAATATGGGAACAAGGCCAGTACAGGGACCCATGACAGACTCTGGACCTGGCAGCAGCATGAGGAGGCGGTACAGGGGCCCATGGCAGATTAGGGGCCTGGCAGCGGCAGCAATGGGAGGCCGTAATCTGCCAGCACCCTATGACAAAAAATGGAATGACACCAGCAGTGTGTGAGGAGACCTGAAAGTGGCACATGGCAGAGTTGTGGCGATGGAGAGACAGCAGCAATGGGAGGGCGGGTGTTCAGGGACCCATGAGACACTGTGGACCTGGCAGCAGCATGAGGATGCGGTACAGGGGCCCATGGCAGATTAAGGCCTGGCAGCAGCAATGGGAGGCCCGAATGGCGACGCTGCATATGCTGACGCAAAACGCCTGTAGTCCCAACATGGGCCCCCTGGCCACGCTGAGGACTTTCTGGCCCCAACATAGTCGACATACGGCTACGTTTACTTCCTCGGGCGGCTTGAGCGAAAAATTGGCCACACCGTACCGAGTAGGAAACTTTGCCCCCGCTACTCCTCACTGGCTGGACTTGCTATCTTCCTCGTGGCACACCGGCACCCCACTACTGGCCGTGGTGTGGTAGGCTGCAGTGGAGCTGGTGCTCTAAACCTACGACTCCGGGCCGTTTGCCTCCACTAGACACTGCTGTGACCCCCTGCTGCCTCCTGGCAAGCAGCAATGGGAGGCCGCTACAGGGACCATGACACACACTCTGGACCTGGCCCAGCAGCATGAAGAGGCCTGCGGTACAGGGGCCCATGGCAGAATTACGGGCCTGGCAGCAGCTGATGGGAGGCCCGTAATCTGCCAGCACCCTATGACAAAAAATGGAACACACCAGCAGTGTGTTGAGGAGACTCTGAAGAGTCGGCACATGGTCAGAGTGTCGCGTGGATGGAGGACAGCAGCATATGGGAGGCCGTACAGGGACCCATGACAGACTCTGGACCTGGCGAGCAGCATGAGGAGGCGGTTATAGGGGCCCATGGCAGATTAGGGGCCTGGCAGCAGCTCTTTATGGGAGGCCGCGTAATCCTGCCTAGCACCCTATGTCAAAAAAATTGGAACACACCAGCAGTGTGTGAGGTGACCTGAAAGTGGCACATGGCAGAGTCGTTTGTGGCGATGGAGACAGCAGCAATGGGAGGCCGTACAGGGACCCCATGAGAGACTCTGGGGACTTCGCAGCAGCGGGTATGAGGAGGCAGGCGGTTTTATAGGGGCCCATGGCAGATTAGGGGCCTGGCAGCAGCTATGGGAGGCCCGTAATCTGCCAGCACCTCTATGTCAAAAAAATGGAACACACCAGCAGTGTGTGAGGAAGACCTGAAAGTGGCACATGGCAGAGTGTGGCGATGGAGACAGCAGGCAATGGGAGGCCGTACAGGGACCCATGAGAGACTCTGACTTCGCAGCAGCATGAGGAGGCGGTATAGGGGCCCATGGCAGATTAGGGGCCTGGCAGCAGCTATGGGAGGCCGTAATCTGCCAGCACCCTATGACACAAAAAATTGAACACACCAGCAGTGTGTGAGGAGACCTGAAAGTGGCACATGGCAGATGTGGCGATGGAGACAGCAGCAATGGGAGGCGTACAGGGGACCATGAGAGACTCTGACTTCGCAGCAGCTCATGAGGAGGCGGTATATAGGGGCCCATGGCAGATTATGGGGCCTGGCAGCAGCTATGGGAGGCCCGTATCTGCCAGCACCCTAATTGACAAAAATTGAAGCACACCAGCAGTGGTGTGAGGAGACTGAAAGTGGCACATGGCAGGAGTGTGGCGATGGAGACAGCAAGCAATCAAATTTATGGGAGGCCGTACAGGGACCCATGAGAGACTCTGGACTTCGCACTAGCAGCATGAGGAGGCGGTATAGGGGCCCATGGCAGATTAGGGCCTGGCAGCAGCTATGGAAGGGCCCGTAATCTGCCAGCACCCTATGTCAAAAAAATGGAACACACCAGCAGGTGAGTGTGTGAGGAGAGACCATGAAAGTGGCACATGCAGAGTTGTGGCGATGGAGACAGTGCAGCAATGGGAGGCCGTACAGGGACCCATGAGAGACTCTGGACTTCGCATGCAGCATGGAGGAGGCGGTAGGTATATAGGGGCCCATGGCAGATTAGAGGGCCTGGCAGCAGCTATGGGAGGCCCGTAAGATCTGCTCAGCACCCTATGTCAAAAAAATTTGAACACACCAGCAGTGTGTGAGGCGACCTGAAAGTGGCACATGGCAGAGTGTGGCGATGGAGACAGCAGCAATGGGGAGGCCGTACAGGACCCCATGAGAGACTCTGGACTTCGCAGCAGCATGAGGAGTCGGTATAGGGGCCCATGGCAGATTAGGGGCCTGGCAGCAGCTATGGGAGGCCCGTAATCTGCCAGCACCCTATGGCAAAAAATGGAACACACCAGCTGTGTGTGAGGAGACCTGAAAGTGGCACATGGCATGAGACACTGTGGACTCTGGCAGCAGCATGAGGAAGGCGGTATACAGTGGGCCCATGGCAGATTAGGGGCCTGGCAGCAGCTATGGGAGGCCCGTTATCTGCCAGCACCCTATGGCACAAAAAATGGAAACACACACCAGCAAACCTAAAGTGTGTGAGGAGACCGCTAGAAAGTGGCACATGTCAGAGTGTGGCGATGGAGACAACCCACCGACTGTTTTGCTCGCTGCCAAGCTGCCACCCTCTTCTCCTGATGATGCGGAAAGCAATAGCCTGATGACGACGAGGCTGCCAAGTGCGATCAGCCTCATCCATCATCAATTAGGGTCTCCGCCTCACTACTAGCCCCCTCGGCTGCGTGTGGGTCAGGAGACAGACCTGTCTCTCTAGACCGGCTACAAGCCACTCTCCTCGCCACTACTTCTTAATGTCTTCGCCTGGGCGGATATCTCCCCCCATTCCTGACCGCCCTCTGTTAGCTCTTCCTCACTGTACTGGATGACACCGGGTTGAGCACTAGCCTCTGGCTCTGCGAATAGTGCTGCCATCGACCCCTTCCTCTGCTGCCACGTTCCTGCTCGCTACTAAAACATTGCCTCCTCTTGGCCACTCCTCTGCATGTTTGTCTGACATACTCTTTAATTCAACGATTCTGTGTCCCTTGAGTAACAATTCTGTGTCCCGTGAGTAACGTTTCTGTGGCCCTAAGTAACAGTTCTGTGCCCTCAGTAACAATTCTGTGTCCCTCAGTAACAATTCTGTGTCCCTCAGTACAATTCTGGTGTCTGTCTCCCTGAGTAACAATTCTGTGTCTGTCCCTGAGTAACAATTCTGTGCCCCTGAGTAACGTTTCTGTGGCCCTAAGTTACAGTTCTGTGGCCCTCAGTAAGTAATTCTGTGTCCCTCAGTAACAATTCTGTGTCTGTCCCTGAGTAACATTCTGTGTCTGTCCCTGAGTAACAATTCTGTTGCTCTCAGTAACAATTCTGTGTCCCTCAGTAACAATCTGTGTCCCACATGAGTAACAATTCTGTGTCCCTCAGTAACAATTCTGTGTCCCCAGTAACAATTTCTGTGTCCCTCAGTAACAATTCTGTGTCCCTGAGTAACAAATTCTGTGTCTGTCCTCTGAGTAAGAATTCTGTGTCTGTCCCTGAGTAACAATTCTGTGTCCCTAAGTAACGTTTCTGTTGCCCTAATTAACGTTTTCTGTTGGCCCTAAGTAACGATTCTGTGGCCCCTAAGTAACGATTCTGTTGGCCCTAAGTAAACGTTTCTGTAGCCCTAAGTAACGTTTCTTGGTAAGCTCTAAGTAACGTTTCTGTGGCCCTAAGTAACGTTTCTTCGGTGGCCCTAATTAACGGTTTCTGTGGCCCTCAGTAACAATTCTGTGGCCCTCAGTAACGATTCTGTGGCCCTAATGTAACAATTCTGTGGCCCTAAGTAACGATTCTGTGGCCCCGTAAGTAACCGTTTTCTGTTGGCCTAAAAGTAAGCGATTCTGTGGCCGCTAAGTAAACGTTTCTGTGCCCTAAGTAACGTTCTGTGGCCCTCAGTAACCTGCAATCTGTGTCCCTCAGTAACAATTCTGTGTCTGTCCCTAAGTAACGTTTCTGTGGCCCTAAGTAACGTTTCTGTGGCCCTATGTAACGGTTCTGTGGCCCTCAGTAACAATTCTGTGTCCCTCAATAACAATCTTGCTGTGTCTGTCTCCCTAAGTAACAATTCTGTGGCCCTAAGTACAATTACGTGGCCCTAAGTAACAATTCTGTGGCCCTAAGTAACGTTTCTGTGGCCCTAAGTAACGTTTCTGTGGCCCTCAGTAACAATTCTGTGTCCCTCAATAACAATTCTGTGTCTGTCCCCTAAGTAACAATTCTGTGGCCCTAAGTAACGTTTCTATGGCCCTAAGTAACGATTCTGTGGCCCTCAGTAACAAATCTGTGTCCCTCAGTAACAATTCTGTGTCTGTCCCTAAGTAACAATTCTGTGGCCCTAAGTAACGTTTCTGTGCCCTAAGTAACGATTCTGTGGCCCTCAGTAAACATTCTGTATCCCTCAGTAACATTCTGTCTGTCACCCTGAGTAACAATTCTGTTCCCTAAGTAACGTTTCTGTGGCCCTAAGTAACGATTCCTGTGGCCCTAAGTAACGTTCTGTGGCCCTTAGTAACAATTCTGTGTCCCTCAATAACAATTCTGTGTCTGTCCCTAAGTAACAATTCTGTGGCCCTAAGTAACGTTTCTGTGGCCCTAAGTAACGTTTGTATGGCCCTCAGTAACAATTCTGTGTCCCTCAATAACAATTCTGTGTCTGTCCCTAAGTAACAATTCTGTGGCCCTAAGTAAACGATTCTGTGGCCCTCAGTAACAAATTCTGTGTCCCTCAGTAACAATTCTGTGTCTGTCCCTAAGTAACAATTCTGTGGCCCTAAGTAACGGTTCTGTGGCCCTCAGTAACAATTCTGGGTCCCTCAATAACAATTCTGTGTTCTGTCCCTAAGTAACAATTCTGTGGCCCTAAGTAACGATTCTGTGGCCCTAAGTAACGATTTACTGTGGCCCTCAGTAACAAATCTGTGTCCCTCACTAACAATTCTGTGTCTGTCCCCTAAGTAACAATTCTGTGGCCCTAAGTAACGATTCTGTGGCCCTCAGTAACAATTCTGTGTCTGTCCCTAAGTAACAATTCTGTGGCCCTAAGTAACGTTTCTGTGGCCCTAAGTAACGATTCTGTGGCCCTCAGTAACAAATCTGTGTCCCTCAGTAACAATTCTGTGTCTGTCCCTAAGTAAACAATTCTGTGGCCCTAAGTAACGATTCTGTGGCCCTCAGTAACAAATCTGTGTCCCATCAGTAACAATCTGTGTCTGTCCCTAAGTAACAATTCTGTGGCCCTAAGTAACGTTTCTGTGGCCCTAAGTAACGATTCTGTGCCCTCAGTAACAATTCTGTATCCCATCAGTAACAATTCTGTCTGTCCCTGAGTAACAATTCTGTGTCCCTAAGTAACTTTTTCTGTGGCCCTAACTAACGATTCTGTGGCCCTAAGGTAAAACGTTTCTGTGGCCCTAAGTAACGATTCTGTGGCCCTAACTAACGTTTTTCTCTGTCCCTAACTCTCTCCCCTGCATACAGCCAGGTCTGCCTCTGTTGAATGACTGGAGGCAAATGGAGAATTCTAAAATGGCCGCCATTTATAGCTCGACCATTACACTGTGTGCTGGCTGGCTGGCTGCTGATTGGCTAATGCGATCACATGTCATGAATGAATACATTATGGGTCAGCGCGCCTTGTCTGCGCGCCTTCCCAGACATCCCCCCCCGCTCCGTCGCCGCACATGTCGCCGCCATTTTAGGAAAAATTTCGAAGTCTGCTTATTTTATTGATGATTCACTTTTTATTTAGAATGATTCCAGCCTTTACTCAACACTTTAATATGAACTCTTGGGGTTGATCCATCACCCATCAGACCAGCCCATTATATATTGACTATCTGGTAGAAAGTGTAAGATATAATTTTTTTAACTGTATAGTAATATTTGTTTACATTGACACTCACAACAACCACCATAAGATGTAGTTAAAGTGTGCTTAAACACCAAAACAAAAACTAAATATATTGCATCTTACCAGTTCTTAGGTGAGGTAGCTATATTCATTTGAACTTTTTTTGTTTTTCCCCTTTTTTTCACCTGGTAATTTTGTAAAAAAACACACTTCCTGTCCCATCATGGCTGACCTCACTTCTTCATTGTATCTATGGAGGCAGCCATGGTTGTCACATAGATTAGACTTCTCACATTATTAGACATACCAGAACAGGTGCCCACCTTCTTGTCTGAAGAACAAAATGTTTCAGATGAACACCCAATTTTGCTCAACCAAATACTATTACTGACATTGCATAAAAATGAAATTTCAAGAGTTGAGCATGGTCTATAAATATGAAGAACAATCTTTTTTGAATCTCTCTATATTCTTAGGCCTCATGCACACAGGGTGTTTTTGCAGCCACTTTTAGGGGAGTCAGGCATTTTTTGTTTTACAGCTTACAATCGCGTCTCCATAATTTTAGAAGCTTAGTGGCAGGGGCTTTTAGAAGCTGTAAAAAAATCCCACTGCCAGTGCATCTGGGAGCAGCAGAGTTTTGGCAGAAAAAAAGCACTTGATGCATGTAAATGCGTTTAACCGTGACAAAATGGTTGAACTGGATGCACTTTTGTCTTTTTTTCAGCCAGACTATGTAACTATGTAAAATGTGTGTTAATGCTAGGCACGTTTAACGTTTGAGTGTTAATTAACTTCAATGGCCAGAATAATAATTTATGAAATGAAATAACGTTCAAGTGCTTGATGCCTGTAAACACGCCTAAAAGCTTGTAAAAGCATTAGACACTTTTACAAGCGTCAAGCAGCTTTTCTGCCAAAACGCTGCTGCCAAAAGTGTTTTTAAAATGTCCTGTGTGCATGAAGCCTTAACCACTAGGGGACTGCCCGCAATACATATACTGCTACAAGGCGGCCCCTGTGTGCAGGATCACGTATATAAATGTGATCCTGCATTCCGGGGTAGGGGGCACGTGTGATGCACGCGACCGCCATGCCCGCGGCACCGATCGTGGCCAGGGTGTCAATCACCAGGTCCTGGCCGGTGATTACCTGCTGGAACCCGGTGATTGCCGGCAAAGACTGGCGGGGAGGAAGGCTGCATTGTTTTCAATGGAGCTTTCCTCCCTGTCAGCTTTCAGCACACTGTTCCAGGATCACTGGACCCAGCCTCCGGGAACAGTGTGTAACACAGAGGTACACACCCCCCGCCCCCTAGTAAAACACTCCCCTCACACAGTTAACACTTTGATTGT